ACAACACAGAACAAGAACTACGGGACACAACAGAAGTGTGTCCAGCTCCAGGTGTAAATAGTTAAACATCTACAGGATGTGCAGCTCGACTGTTTCCAGCAGGTCAAAGGGACTTTGATGAACTGTCACAATAAACGGTGTCATTTTTAAGGCGCAGAGGCAAAATCATCACAAAAAGGGCAAAGTTAAGATAAAAGACACAAAATGACAGCGAAAGGTTTGAAAGGCTGTCAGACAGCAGCAGAAGGTGGACCAGGACGAGTGCTGATGATGGGAGCCATGACAGAAACTCACCCTGCGACGGTTCTCGCTGTCTTCTATCCTCTGGCGCTTCCTCTTCTCTGGGGGACAAAAACAGCTGCTTTAGTGTTTGGGCCCAGTTTATCGGGTCATGCTGCGGTTCTGTTTCTCACCCCGTCGGATCAGCTCCTTCCCCTCATCGATCAGGTCCGACGTCATCTCGCTGTCTCCCATAAACTGCTGGAAGCCCAGAAGGTTCAGACAGCGAGTCCCCAAACTGGGGAGAGACCAGAACCAGAGCTAAAGGATGGGGACGGGTTCCTAAAGGGGTTCCACAAGGACGGTTCCTACACTCAGAACACTCACAAAGGTTGTGACCAGACCAAAGCCTGACCCTGAACAGTTGGTTCTGGTGACTGGATCTAACCGGCTAGTTCTGGTTCAGAACTTTCTATACCATCGTTGAACTGACCCGAGGCTGCACAAACGGACGACTAACAGAAGAGCTGATTAACTTTCTGCGTCGTAACTAATCAGCTACCAACTGAACAGGTGGAGAGACTCCCAGCACGCTGGCTGTACCTGAGAGCTGTGGACTCACCTGAAGTAGGTGGCGATGCAGAGGATGACTATCAGCATGGGGTAGTAGATGTAGAAGCCGTTAGCGATGAAGGAGAGGACATGCATCGAGCCCATGATCTGCTCAGGAAACACACAGGTGGGTCAGGGCAGGCACTGCAGGACAGGTGTGTGCAGGTGTGCTGCTGTGTCAGGCGGCTTACAGAGGTGTAGGCAGTCGGCTCCTTCTTCTGGTGGGAGATGGCCGAGTCCATGTGGATCAAACCCAAGAAGTTGAGACACAGCGGAGGAGTCAGGCGACAGAAGAGCCTGAAAGTAAAGGTAGTGTGTTTCATCACCTGTCTTCATCTACAGGTGGGATGTCACCTGAGATTCACAGAGCTCTTAATTAGCATCTAGCTTCTAGCATTTAGCTCTTTCTTTATTTGACACAAAGCTGTGACGTTCAGTCTCCAGTGTCGTTCTTCTGTTCATCATTAGTTCAGAAGTATCTGTTTATGTGAGTCGTGTAAATATCACTTAAATATCCAACAATTCTAAACTGTATCCCCTCCCAGTAATCAGATTACAAGTAGAACAGCAGAGTATTTCCTCTGACCAACGGTCAGAAACACTTTATAAAGTCTATGTTGAAAAAATCTGGGCTCCAAAGTAGAACCTCAAAGAACCAAACTGGGTCCAGCTGTGGTTCCATCAGTCTGCCTGCATGAACCCGGTTCTACTGTTAAAGAACTAAACCTGGCTGCTGCTCACAGCTAAACTTCCACATCAAAGTTCACCAGAGAACATGAACAGAAGCCTGATGGATGCTGGAGAACATCCTCTGGTCAGATGGAGATCAATGTGTTGGGCTCACATGGAGTCCAGATGTTTGGTGTGAACCTGACCAGGACCACCACAGTGGATCATGGTCCTGACAGTGAAGCACGGAGGTGGCAGCATCATGGCATGGGGCTGTCTCTAGATGCTCCATGTTCAGGTGATATGGCAGGTCTGTGCTTGCTGCTGCTGTACGTGAGCACATCGTATCTACACTTTGCTTGGTTCAATGTTCCATTCAAGCCGAGTTCAGTCAGTTTAAAGCTTCAGGGTTTGCTGAAGGCTGGACCAGTTTCTTACATGCCGCTGAACTGGAGACTGTAGGCGTCGGTCTGGTGGTGCGAGGCCAGGTAGTAGTAGTTGAAGACTCGAATGCGGAAGACGGTGGAGTAAACGCAGGTGCAAAGGAAGAAGATTGTGACGAAACACGCCATCTGGTGGAGAGAGGCCACATTACAAGCTCAGACCAGCTGTTCTCAGTAACTGTGGCACAAGGTTTACAGCTTAGCCACATGTGAGTACACTGCAGGCTGCATAACACAACTCATATCCTAATACATTAAAAACATATTAACCGATTAGGCAGCAGGCCAAGGACATGTCAGGAAACGTAGATTAGCTGCTGTACTTGGCTGTTCCACCAGATGGAGCCTCTGCTGTTTCCTGAGGTGGAGCTACAGGTGCGTTTGACCTCCCCACCGTCTGACTGCATGTTTTTGTCCAGGCAGTCGCGTTGACTGCTCTGTAGCGTCAACGTGGTTTAGCTAGCTCCCTGAGGCTGATGCTAATGATGCTAAGCTAATGTGCTAACACAGCCTGAAAGCACAGCAGCAGCAGCAGCAGCAGGACTCTGCTCACGTGTCCCGCGGTGTCTGCTCAGTTTCTGCTTCGTACAAACATGTTATGCATAAAGAGAACATCATCTGCTCTGATTTAAGGTTCTCTGAGTGTTTTAAACTTAATCTACAGACAGTTTGTTGATCTGCAGCTCTGGAAAACAAGATGTGGTTACAGACAGGATGACGTTAGATGAAAACAGCTCGACCACTTCAGTCAGCAGCACATGCAGCTGCATGACCACGTAACGTCCCATCTGAAGGTCACTGAAGGACAGGACCTCGCTCTGATGAAGGAGCTCCACACTGTTTTTATTTTCTCTGCAGAAAATCGGCCTGATCGTTCTGGAATGATTCATTCTTTACAAACGGTTATTCTGCTGAGACTTTTTGGATTTAACTAAATATTTTCCATCACGGCGCCGCCCTGCTGGAGCCTGCATGAAGTGAAGGAGTCGGTTACATTTTGTCAGATATCTCCTCCAACGTCCACCTGCTGCCATGGCACAAGGTCGTGTTTTCATGAACTATGAAGCGCTGCTGCTGCTGCTGCTGCTCTGTGACAGTGAGCTGAACATCTGGACATCTTCAGACATGTGGACACCAAACAGCTGCCTGATCCAGACGGAGGACCGGCTGCCGGTGAGCTCACCTCGATGTACAGGTAGTTGTAGTCTCTCTCAGCCAGCTGGATGAACACAGCGAACAGGGACAGAACCGGCCTGGTGCTAAAGAAGGTGCACTCGGACCAGACCACGGCCACGCTGAACAGGGTCAGAACCACCGACAGCAGCCGATAGAACCATCGCTTCAGCAGACACTCCCAGTACCACTCTGCAGAAACACACAGGAGAGAAGGCTGTGGCTGCAGAGGACCAGACCAGGAGGAGCTCTGCTGCTGGCCTCAACTCCTGACCCATAAACATGTGGTTCCAGTCAGTGCAGAGGAGGAAACCCACCTGTCCAAGTTATGTTGAACCATCGGAACCTTAAAATATCTCTGTCACCAAACCACACATCAGCTGGAAACTCGAAACCAAAAAGAGCAATTTGTAACTTTTCAGCCGTTTGCAGGCGCTTCATGTCTCCGGTCCACCCCGAGCCCGGCCCGACCCGGTCTGCACCCCGAGCCCGACCCGGTCTGAGCTCCACATCCTGGTACTACCTGACAAAACGCAGACACTCACCAACGGTCGGCGTGTAGACGTATCTGCTGAACCAGCCGGCCGGCTCTGAGGACGGGAAGCTGTGGACAAACTGGTGGGTTGAACTGGTCTCGTTCTTGGCCACATCCTCCAGGTGGATGGCCTGCTGCAGCAGAATCTGCCACTGGACTTGAGTCCGGTTGTGTCTCTGAACAGCGTAGATCACCTGGACGCACGTTTATCAGGTTTAATCAGGTGACAACAGGAGCTGCAACGTCTCTGAAGAGCTTCATAAAGACTTTAGGTGGTACCAAGAACAGGAACCTAAACCCAACAGAACCAGCTGATCTCCATGTTTTCTACTTTGGCGGTATCCTTGCTCTGCTGTGATCAGTGGACCATCACAGCAGTGGATGGAGCCCAGCCTTCAGTCCGCTCTATTGTCTGGTAAAAGTCTGAGCGACTGTTGGACTCAGCGTGGTCCTCCTGAACCCACCCACTGCTGCTGGTTCCACAGGTGCTGGACTGAATCGGACTCTTCCACCCGTCAAAGCAACGTCAGTGAAAGATGTAAAGGTTCCTCAGATTGTCAGCCTGAATTAATCATGAACAGAACCAGCCTATGTCTCACCTGTTTGTGCAGCTTCACCAGGCTCTTCTCGCTGGGGTAGGTGTTCTGTTTGTCGTCAAAGTCCTCGTAGTCGTCCATGTTCCTGCCCATGTTCTCCTGGTAGTCCAGCGGGCACTGAGGACACACCAGCTGTTAGCCTGCACCTGTCTCAGACGGTCACCTGGAGCCGGCGGCTGAGTGAACTCACCTTCCTGAGGATGGTGTCGATGTACTTCCTCAGCGGGTGGTTGTACTTGATGGACTCGCTGACCTTCCGGACCTCCTGCAGCAGAACACACAGTCAGATACTGACTCTAACTCCGGTGGGAACCAGGTCCAAACCTGCAGCTCACCTCCATCACGTCCTCCAGGTTCTCCTCAGCGTCTGCCTTCTCCGTCATCAGCTTTGATGCCTTGAAGTAGGTCTTGATGAGCAGGTGACCGTGTCTGGAGGCGTTCCAGTAGGACCGAGGGATCTCCACCAGCCCATAACCCAGCAGCAGAACCAGTAGGAACAAGCCCCAGGTGTTCGCTGCCGTGATGCCGATGGTCTGCAACTCATACCTGAACACATGAAGAAAACGTGAAGTAAAGCAAAGAACAATGAAACGTAACCCGCATTTAGTGATTTATTTGTTTGTTTATTTTATTTATTTCTGGGTCACTTTCCTGTGACTTCAGATTCCCTTTAACTCTGGGCCTAGTTCACTTCCTGTTCTGTCTCCACTGTGACTGAGGCATGTTCCTGTCAGTGTGTCAATCAGCTGACTGGGTCTCTCCGTCTATAGTTTAGGAATCTGATGTTACCGTACATGACTATGAAGCGCTGTTTCCACCAGAGTCGTATCAACTTCCAGCTGTTCTTCACCTCAACAGTCCGCTGATCAGCTCTGGGCCGGGCCGGGGCAGCCAGACTTCATCGCTCCATTCAAAGGTAGAACTATGACTCCATGTAACTGAAGACAGCCGAACAGTGGATCAGGTTTTAATCTCATCCCTCACTCATGTAGTTTGGAGTTTTATTTGTGTTTTTATTAAGGC